TGACCTCACATGTGTTGCCATGAGATTGTGCATACATACACACACACACACACACACACACACCTATGTAAAAGATGTCTTAAAAATGGCTCTGAAGGGTTGGGGACATAGCGCAGTCTATCACGCCCAGCGTTTGATTCCCAGCACCACAAAATCTGTGTGGTGTCTCAGACTTGGTTTTGCTTTGTAGGCAAGGCTGCCGTGTAAGTTGCTATGTAGCCCAGACAGTCCTCCAATTCATGATGAATTTAATCTCCTGAGTGCTGGCACTATGGTGTGCGCCTCCAGACTACGGCTGTATTTTGTAATCTGTTGGCTGCTTACACGGCTCTGTCTAGTTGTGAAAGCTCACTGGTACTTACAATTAGGACACAAGACGTTCGTTTTCAATAAAGCTTAAAGTAATGGAAAAATTAATTTTAGGGTAGAATTGTATTAGAAAATAGAGACTGAAGAACGCCCATAATAATAACATTCCAAAGAAATTATATCTTAAATTAATTTTTAGTGTATTATGCCTGGTAAAATGCATTGCTTTGCACAACCTAGGAAACCAACTTGGCACTGATGAGGGTACCAGAGGAGATTCTTTTGCCTTTTAAAGTGATTCATCTCAGACCGTACTCCTGGGGTATGAGTTAATCACATTTTAATGTGTTCCACTTGCTTCATTTCCGTGCTAGGGAAAAGGCTATGTATGTTTATTTTCAAATTCAATTCTCTCTTACCTATGGCAAAATGCTCTGCGTCTAAGAACACAGGCAATTTTTACCTAACATAGGAATAAATTGCCTGTGTGTTTTAGGTCCTAGAAAGCGGGTTTTATTTTGACAGGGCATCAGTTCTGTAATGCGGTCTCCACACCGTTGCGTAATTGCAGCTCAGTAGTTAACAGTCCCCATGTTTGAACAGTCTCCTCTTTGCTATACTTCATGCCATAGCAACAAGCTCTCTAGCTTTTCCCGCAACACTTTTGCTTAGAGAGTGTGTCTCAAAGGTTTTGTCTTCGGATTACAAACTGCCAAGAAAGGAAGGGGCTTGAAGATCTGTGAGCACGGGGACTTCTCTAGGGCACCAACCACATAGTGTATGCCCAGTGGTTACTTTTCTAATGTCCTTAGGAAGCTGGGGTAGGGGGACCTAGGCGTAGGACATATGATGGAACAATCTAACAGTCTGTGGGCTCTCCCTCTCTCCCTCTCTGTGTATGTGTATGTGGGTTGGGGAGTAGGTGACAGTGCTGGTCTGTGTAGGTGTGTGGGTGGGGAGCGTGAATGTGGGTGCCTGCAGGTGCTAGAAAGAGGGGGTAGCATCCCCTGGAGCTGGAGTTACAGGTGGTGTGAGCTGCGCAACAAGAGTACAGGGCTGGGAACTGAACTCTGCTCTTAGCCGATGAGCCATCTCTCCAGCCCCACATTAGACACTTAATTTAAGGAACCAGGTTCAAATCCTCGCTATCTAAGGCACTGGCTTTGTAAAAGTGAGTTATTTCCTCGTCTCTGAGTAAATTGGCTCATTTTGAACGAAGGATAGCGGTCAACCCTTTCTTCCAGCCTCGTTAGGAAAGCAAAGTGGTACAGAAAGTGAAAACCATGGAGAGTCGTCCTTGGCATGATGGAGGAGGGTCATCTGTCTATGCGTGACTTTCATTGGTTAATAAAGAAAACCGCCTTGGTCCTTTGATAGGACAGAAAATTAGGTAGGCGGAGTAGACAGAACGGAATGATGTGGGAAGGATTCATTCAACACGTGGAGCTGTGGCCCTAAGAAGCAATGTCTGGTGAGTTTGGCCAACTTGTCTATCAGCAAAGCACAGCACTAACACTATCGCTGGCTTTGTTCTCTGTCTGGGCCACCCACCCCGGCTGTCACTGGGATAAAATCAGTGACAAGTGCCTTCTACGAGGAGAAGGGCACCGGAAAGACTTCAGTCCATCTAACTCTCGCCTTTTGCCAATGAGAACATGGAAGCCCAGGGAGGTTGCCCAGATTAAAGCAAAACTCCCACCACTAACTAGGGGTACAGTAGATATTAGATCTGGGGCCTTTATTTTTAGCCGGGGCACTGTTCTATGGAGGCCTGCAACATGGAGCATTGCCCCATCTTCTTGTCTGGCTTGTGTTTGACCCCACCAAAAAGCACAAGTACCTCATCATACCCATCCTAGGTACTGGGGGGAGGAGGTTCAGTTTGCTAAAAGAGGTCTATTTCTAGCCTTTGTGGATGGCCTACTCCCTGCAAATTCACCCAGGCTAAGAGACTGCTGCTGCATTTGAGACACTTTCCAGGGTGTTGCTTGGTGGTTGCCATGACAACAGAATGTAACGGAAATAGAGTTTTCTAGAGGATTACGCCGGTGGAGGCTTTAAAGCCAGATTACAGTTATGACTTTGAAGCTTAAAGAATATAAGTCAGCTGTGCTGGCACACAGTAGGTGTACTGGGACACCGTGGAAGGAAAACATACAGGCCCGTCGTTGTGGTGGAAGCTAGAGCAGCAGGGATCTGAGCCACTAACATGAATGTTTAAGGTCATGTGGACCAGCTTCCCTTGCCCCTTCCTTGAGAAATGACAGTAGAAGATTTTCCTAACTAAAGTCTTGCTGTGTGGGAAATGATTTATCATCGGAATTACGAGGAAGGCTTGTCAAACCTTTGCAGATGGCTGGGGATCCATCAGTTAGCAACACAGATTTCTATGTGTACGCCACATCACCAACAAAACATGTTTCTAACAAAGGTCAGATGTTCCAATTGCTAGGGGAAAAGTATTACACCTATACGGGGCCCTTCTGAAACCACTGGGTTAAACTGTAAGGAAGGCTCTTTCTGCCTATGAACCAAAGCCACGTCTCTCGTAATGTCCGATTCAAGCCTGTGCACAACCTGTCTGTGTTCATTTTTAAGTATTTCAAGAAGTGTTCAGCATCTCTAGTCTTCAGGAAAAGGCAAACTAAAACTGCCTTGAGACACCACGCCAGCCCCAGTCAGAATGGCTACCATCCAGATACCCAACAGATGTCGGAGAGGATGTGGAAAAAGAGGAGCCTTGGGTCACTGCTGATCCAAGTCCAAAGTGCAGACTGGTACAGCCAAATAGAACTACCATATGGCCCAGCTATACGACACCTAGGCACACACCAGAGAGACATTTGCACGTCCTGTGTATTGCTGCTCTCTTCATGACAGCAAGGACACGGAACCAGCCCGGATGTCTATTAACCAGTGAAGCATACAGAGACGGTATGGGCTATGGTTCAGCTGTAAAAAAAAAAAAAAACAAAATCATGACATTTGCAGAAAAATAGATGGACCTGGAGAGTATCTTAAGCGAAGTGATCCACACTCAGAAATAAACCAGGTATTCTTCCTCATAAGCAAGCCTCAGTCCATAATATGCACACGTACAAATATTTGGGGGGGAGGGGTCTATTCTAATTTTCAGGAAGGGGCCCAAGAGAGGGCAATACTGAGGGATTAGGACATAAGTCATGAAAGCGGATATGAAGTTGTTTTGTTTATGGTTTTTGAAGTTTTATCTCTGTCATAGTTTTTTTTTTTTCCCCCCCACTGTGGATTTGTACATTCAACTCTCTGTGTATTGAAGTAGCAAGCACGGTATATGCATTCTAAAAGATCTGGCATGCACGTTCTCTTGATGCAGGGGGTTGTGGAAGTTGGCTTTATTTTAATGTCACCAATCCTTAGTACAACATGAAGTAGCCATGGCCTGTCACTGATGCCTGACACATTGACATACTTAGAGGTGACTTTTTTTTTTTAAATTGTTCTGGGGATTTTTTATTGTAAAGATTTTCCCTATTTAAAACTATATCAAATCATTCAACCATGGTGTTATTTAATATGGAAATCGTATCATTATATGTAAATTATGGTTTAATGAAGAATTTGATATCATTTATGCCATTATTGGAGAAAAGGCCCCAGAAAATCTCCACGGTTTCACTTGAAGTGGAGATACTTTGGGACCAGGAGATGTGAACAAGTTGCCTCAGTGATGGAAAGGACTGAGCCCTACACCTTTGTGTCCCCTCTATCCCCCAGATCACACTTTCCATCCGCCCCAAAGGCAGACTGGGTGAGCTTCCTGCTTGCTTAAAGTGACGCATGCACTCTCTCATGGGTGCACCCTCAGACTGGAACTCGTTTCTTTTTCTTTTTTTAGCTTAATAAACCATTGCACTAAATTTACTCAATAAATAACCTCAGTGAAGAATAATATTTTCCAGGAGAACAGGCCCCAGCGCAGCTGCCAACACCCGTTTCTTGGGAGTGACTCCCTGGCTCTGCTTTTCTGAATTTTCCAGGCACAAAGGCTCCTCCTGTGAAATTATTGGTAATTTTAAATGAAATAATATTGACAGCAGTAGCTGATTTCATCAATGTAGGTTCTCTGCAAGATCAGTATGTGCTCTGAACTGCTGAGCCATCTCTCCAGTCCCTCAAAGCCCCTACACACACACACACACACACACACACACACACACACACACACACACACACTGAGACTTCTATTAAGAAATGACACTTCTCAGACTGCTAAATCTCCCTTCCACTGAGAGACTGGAGTTGAGGTTTGCCCTTAGAATGCAGACCTCAGGTTGCTGAATATAAGTGTTTGTTAACTTCTGCACTTTTCCTAGCTTCACTTCTGTTTAACTTAGCCCCAGGACACTCTCTTCCAGGGCTGGAGTAGGGTAGTCATGTGGTCCCTCCTTGCCAGGTTGCCTGCATGAAGTTCTAACATAAATACCAGGGCCGTCCTGCTGGCAGCCCTCTGCAATGGTTGGCCAGCACACAGCTCCATCTTTACGCCCACTTTCCCTGGCCCCTGTTACTGGGAAGCACTTTCCTGGGCCTGCAGCATCTCAGCTGGGCAAGGCTGGCAGACGTCCCCGCCTCCCTCCCGGGGGACCATCCTGGATCCCTCCCCGTGATGTCAGCGGAATCCTGAGCTGGATTGAGGGAAAGGCCCAGGATCTCCGTTAGAGGAGCCCAGATGGGGTGGACCCAGGGGTGGCCGCCCGGGGCCGAAGCTCCAGCCTCGCGTCCCCGGGCGCCGCCCCCGTGTCCCGCCCGCGCCACGCTCCGCCCCGGTCGCCTCTCGTCCCGCGTGGGAGCCGACCCGGCTCAGCCTGATTTACGGCTCTGCTGAAAACCGCTCGCTCGGCTCCCGCACCATCAGCACAGGCGGCTGCAGCGGCAGCAACAAGTCGGGTAAGTGGGCTCGGCTGGAGCCGTGCGCCCGCCCCCCCTGCCCCACGGATACGCAGGGAGCTGGCCCCTGTCGCGCAGCGTCACGGGGAGTCGGAATGGCCGGCTTTCCCGTAGCCACCTGCACGAACTCGCGTGAGCACGAATCCATGCAATCATCAGTCGGAGCGGGGGGCTAGGAAAGCGGGGACCCCAGGCAGGTTCTGCCCAGCTTGCCCAGCTCTGCACAGGAAATCGCAGCCCTTTTTGCTAACCTGTGTGTGCCCTGGGGTTTCCTCTGCGCGAATGGAAGCCTGGAGCTGGGGAGTGCGTGGTTATTCCATCTCCCCCATCCAAACATGCCTCTCTTCCTACTGCCGCTCTAGAAGCATCTCTTCCTATCCCTGCACCCCTTGCCAGCCTTTAGCCCCGGGCTGGGCCAGGGATTGCATCCTGTTAAACATCCCAGTTCGGTACAAGAAGGTTCCCCTTTGCTGAGATCCAGAGACTTAGTAACCTGGAAAATGCGCCTGCCTGGCCAACAGGGTTTCCGTCTCAGCTTCTGGATGCCACTGAGGGTGTAACACCGATTCTTCACCCTAAAATGTTATCCGGGCCCCTTCTTAGTGGGACCCAGTGCTCATGACCATTCTTGGAGGAAATGGGTACAGGGCCCCTTGCAAAATTGGGTTGTCATAGGGATCTGTGGCGAGGGCAAATTCATCAGAATTTGCAAAGGCAACAAGAACTTCCTATTTTTGGAGGAGTTATGCTGGCCGAGGTCCACCCGGTTCTAACACTCTAGAAGCTGTGCCAAAAACAGCATCATAGGCAAGGCAGATCCACCTAGAACGTTCTGTTATCAGCCATGGCCCCGTCTATATATCAAATGATATCTGACATTTTGGGTTCCCAGATTTCAGTCGTGTTGGGCCATTATTATTATATTAACACTTTGATTTTTGTCATCACACCAGTAATTAAAAATGTTTAAGTCATGGGCAGAAAAGGTGGCTCAGCAGGTAAAGGCATGTGTCACCAAGCTGGGTGACCGACCGGAGCTCACTCTCCAGGACACACATGGGGAAAGACGAGAACTCATTGAAGTTGTCCTCTGATCTACACACACACACACACACACACACACACACACACACACACAGAGAGAGAGAGAGAGAGACAGAGACAGAGAGAGAGACAGAGACAGAGACAGAGAGACACACACAGAGTGAGACAGAGAGACAGAGACAAATAAGGAAATTTTATTTAAAATAAAAATTAAATACTAAGTAAAAATGTGAGGTTGAATTTTTTATTTCAGCTTGTGTGCTTAAAGCCAACTTGAGAAAAGATTGCCAAGCTTGCTCTCTTAAGACCTGTTTGTCTGGGACACATTTCCATGTAGTATTCCAAATTCAGGAGGACAGAAAACCTGAGTTCTGTTTCTGGAGCACTCTCTTCCCTTCTTGGGGCCCTGTCACTTCTCCTCCCTGCTCCGTTTTTTTTTTTTTTTTCATCTGTCTAAGAGTGTTAGCCACCTTGACTCAGCTAGGTTGGAGCTGGATTAGAAATGTTTCTGCCTCTGTAGGCCCTGCCCTCTGTAACCTGCAGTGATCCTGTGCGGCCGAAGAGGGTGGATGTGGCCGCATTTGGCATACGGGTTTAGGCTTGAATTTCAGCATAAAAATCAACTCTAAATACTAAATGCAATAGTTGCTTAAAGCCCAAGAAGCTTGAACTGGTATAGTCACTATGGCAATTGGCATGGGGATTTCTCAGGAAACTGAAATAGAAATATCATATGGCCCAGCTATACCATGCCTGGGCATAAACCCAAGGGGCTCTATATCCTAGTACAGAGATGCTCACCCAAATTTATTACTGCAGTGTTCACAACAGCCAAGCCTTGGAACCAGCTCAGGTAGCCATCAACATAAGCGTTGAGAAAGGAAGTAGGGTGCAAATACAAAATGGAATTTGACTTAGCGATTGAGAAAATTAAAAGTCTGACATTTTCGGGAAAACGAGTGGGACTGGGCAATGTGTTAAATGAAATAAGTGAGACTCTGGAGACAAGTAGTGTGTTTTCTCTCAAACAAGGATCTTAGAATTTAACGTGTGTGTGTGTGTGTGTGTGTGTGTGTGTGTGTGTGTGTGTCATGAAATAAGGATAAAAGGACTTCTCAAGGAAAGAGAGAGGAGTTCATCTCCAATACATGTGACTTGAAAGTGGTGGGATATTGGGACAGGAGGAAAGGGAACCCTCTGGAAGGTCAGGCGATGTAGGAGGGCACTGGGGGAGAGGACCAATAGGAACAAAATAAACACAAAAAGCCCCCAAGAAACAGTTACTTGATTGATACTAACAAGCTAATTAAAAACAAAAAGCTAGCGCCTCTCTGGAAAGGGGCAGCCATCTTTGTCAGTTGGAGTCACTTCAGAAGCTTTTGACAGACACATAAATGGCTGTCTTCTCCCCCTCCCAGGACTTTCAGAGTGATGCAACAGAGGACTTTTGAGGAAAGCCGGTACCGTTGGCAGGACTCGCTGGAGAATGTCGCTGTGTGCCTGCCATTCCGCTGCCCGAGGTGTGGGGACCATACCAGGTTTAGAAGCTTGTCGTCCTTGAGGGCCCATCTGGAATTCAGTCACAGCTACGAGGAGCGGACCCTCCTGACGAAATGCAGCCTCCTGCCGTCTCTCAAGGACCCAGAGCTAGTCAGGTGCGCAGAACTCCCGAAGCAGGGAAAACTGCTCCGGGGCCACGCAAAGGTGACCAAGCAGAAGCCAAGCTATGTTAACTTGTACAGCATCTCCCACGGGCACTCCAAGGACCCGAAGCCCTTTGAGATGGTGGCAGAGAGGCCCGTGTCCTATGTGCAGACCTACACGGCCGTGGACATCCGGGCTGACTCTCTGGAAGCTCCTCGCTCGAGCCCCGGACTTCCCACCCCTGACACCAAAGCTGCTTTCGAGGCCCACGTCCGAGAAAAGTTCAATCGCATGGTAGAGGCGGTGGACAGGACCATCGAGAAGAGAATCGATAAACTCACCAAAGAGTTGGCCCAGAAAACCGCCGAACTGTTGGAGGTCCGGGCAGCCTTCGTGCAGCTGACGCAGAAGAAGCAGGAAGTTCAGAGGCGAGAACGGGCCCTGAACAGACAGGTGGACGTGGCCGTGGAAATGATCGCCGTGCTGAAACAGCGCCTGACAGAATCCGAGGAGGAGCTCCTGAGGAAAGAGGAGTAAGTGCTGCTGAAACTGGATGCTAACCCCTGCTTGGGGGACCCTCCCTCCCCAAGTTACAAGCAGATGTTCATTGCCGTGTGTCACTGGCACATGTCTTGGCTGCATTGGTTCCTTACTGGTTCACTTGTGCCAGGACGCAGAAAACCTTGGCTTTATTCACCTTCTGTGGAGATGGTGGGCAACCTGGCATCATTAACCTAATTAATATCTAACTCCTGGTTACCTTGGAAACTCAGATGGATGACGTTAGAAGGATAGCACAGCTGGTTTGTAAACCTGCGCCCACGGCGTGCGAGGGTCCACTGATGTGTGTAGATTACATAGTCAAGAATAGTCAAGAATGAGATGAGGGCTTGTTATAATATAAAATATGTTCCAAGGTACTCTTGGCTTGTTTGCTCGAGATACTTTTCTTTCTTAAATTATACTAACTAAAACATCCAGGGAAACTGCCTACTAAAGAGAGCTCCGTTTGCTATCGCTAAATATTTACGTTCCCATTGAAAGGATGCCCAGGTATTGTTTAGTCATGCTAGACATTTTAAAAATTTAGGTAGTTAGGGTGACTTTGAATCAGCTATTGTATTAGTTCATCTACACTGCCGGGACAAAATGCCTGGCGAAAGCAGTTTAAGGAAGGGAGAGTTTAGTGTGGCTCACAGTTCAAGGTCACAGTTCATTATGTCTGGGAAGTCATGGTGGAAATATGAGGTAGCTGGTGATGTTGCATGTATAGTCAAAGAGCAGAGAAATGAGCATTGATGTTCAGTTTGCATTCTTCTTTTTATTCAGCCCTGGACCCAGCCGGTGAGATTATGTCTCATAGTTAATTAGCTTGAGTCTTCCTGACTGTGATTAATTTTAATTGTCCACTGGCTCCAGTTTAAAATCATCTGGAAACAAGAGTCTCAGTGAGATTGACTGGTGGGCGTGTCTGTGGGGGGATTGTCTTAATTACTTCAATTGATGTGGAAGAACCTCTCCCACAGTGGGTGGCTCCATTCCCTACGCAGGGCGTCCCACACAGGCTGTGTGTGTTCAGTGCAGGGGGGGGGGGCTGGGCACAAAGAGGCATGCATGTCTCCATCTTCTCTCTGCTCCTGACTGGATATGACTAGCTGCTTCACGCTCCTGCCACAGTGGCTTTCTTGATGTGTTGGACTTGTGACCTGGGGTTGTGATCTGTATAAATCCTTCCTCCCTTAAGTGACATTTTTCTTTTCTAAAATCACAGCACCAGAAAGGCAAATAGGACAGCAGCTCGGGTAAAACGTTCTGGTAAGAGCTTCAGGGATGCACCATGAAGTGTGTTTCGTGGTCATTCTAAACCGCATCCAGCTGACAATCAAACCTGAGCGTCCACAAGTCTTTTTTCGTGCTTAGGAAAGTGATCTCTGATGGATACATCATTTTTGTTGCCGTGTTTTGGCCTCCGAGTGCTTCCTGGGAGGAAGTAGGCATTTGGGTCCACAGAGGCGACCCAGATGACCTACCCTGCGATGCTGTAAGGTGGAGCTGGGGAAGTTCTAAGAGTAAAACCTGGGCTGACTTCCTGATGCTTTTGTTTGATTTAGTAGCTATAAATTAAAAGGGCCGCAGATTATTGCATTTCTTAGTTTAGGGTTTATAATTTGCTCATAGTACAAATAATAACGGATATGGGTTTGGGGCTAGTGGCTGCATAGATGTGGGTTGACGGCTAATAGAAGGTGGTTCCTGTGGTCAGATGTCTGCTATTGTCAAAGATTCACTTTCATATGAGAGGGTGGACTCAACCAGCGATTTAGTCCTCGAAAGAGTAGATTAATGCCTGGGTAGGCAGACACTTATTTGGTGGAGTGTTTGCCTGCCTTGCGCAAAGCCATAGGCTTGACTGCCAGCACTTATTAAACCGTATGGTGGTGCACACCTGTAATCCTATAATCCAGCACTAGGAAGGAAAGGCAGGAAGATCAGGAGTTCAAGGGAGTCATCCTCAGCTCCCTTGGGGCTTGAAAGCCAGCCTAGGCATCTCGAGACCCTTTCTCAACATTAATTAATTAGTTAATCAGTAAGTAACTGTGGTCCATCTGTGGGTAGAGAGTGGTGGTTTCCGTTCATCTGGAACTGCCACCTGAACAGAGGCTCGTGAAACAAAGCATCCCGCCAGATGGAGGGGTGCCTGTTCTCTCTCCTCTCCGAGCCCACCCCTACCCAGCCTCAGGAGAAAGCGTTCCTCCCAGGCCTATCTCGTGTGTGCACACTACTGTTATAACTCAAGCACACACTCATAAGGTTCCTCTAGATGGAACCCTGACACCTGCCGCTGTTCCCCTGGACCTTACAGGTGCTTGTGATTTCACGTGGTCTGCCTTTAGGGTGTCTTGTGCTTTCACGTGGCCTGCCTCTCAGGTGTCTTTTGTACAGTACGCAGAGTTCCACCCTTCCTGCAGGCTGTTGTATGGTACGGCTACGTTGTTGCTGCTTTAAACAATGCACTATTGAATGCACCGCTTTGCTAGAACTAAATGTCCCGTTGTAGCCGATTTCTCGTGACATCTTTGTCCACATTCGTGTGAGTTATACTCTGGCAATCCTTTTATCTGTTGTCAGGAACTGATGCCAGAGACTCGTGTTTGCTAAAGATGCATATGACCACTGAGCTACGGCCTTGGCATCATTGACTTTTAATATGTCATGTTTGGGATAAAAAAAGGGGAGGAATATTTAGTTTAAAAAGAAAAAAAACCAACTTGGAATAAAAATATAGAGACATTGCCTTAAACTTTGAAACACAAAGTCATCATTTTTCTCAGCTTCCATGTGAGGCCATCTTAACAGTTTCTGTATCCATGCCTTAAATAAGCACATTCTCTGTACATGAACTGGAACTGAAAGGGTCTTGTTCTTCGAGAGGACACTGAATCTCTTGGGCAAAGTGCAACAAAGATAAAGACAGTCCCCTCTGTCCCTCAGTATCTGCAGATCCTGGTCCCTGCCCTGCCCCCACCCCCACTCCGCCATCTGAATGGGAACACACAGACAGCTGCCCTTCAGCCATATCAGTGTATCCCAACCAAGTTGGTTTGATTGTGTTTGCCTGGCTGGGTCCCTTCCCATGGTACCGTTCTCCCAGAGGACTATATCTCCCAGAGACATGGCCTTTCTGATAGGAAAGACCCCTCCCAGCCAAGGAAACCTCCAGATAATTCCTAGTAGATGTCCCATTGGGAGCTCTCCAGGCTCTAGGGTCTAGGCTAAAAGTTCATTTCTGTGCAATTATAGGTTTTTACTGTCCTACTTCAGATTCACTTAAATCTGGGTAAACTTTAAAATTCAGAGAGCGGATTTCATCAAGACAAACGAACGTGTATAAAAAGCAAATGTAATTAGCCTCTCAACTGCCTTTCATTGAAACGGAAATTAATAGCTCCAGGGAGAGCTGGACAACGGTACTATATCCCTGCAATCAGAGCACTTGGAAGGCTGACGCCAAGGATTGCCTCGAAAACCCAAGGCTAGTCTGGGTGCCCTGGTTAGCTTTAACTGAAACTTGACACATGCTAGAATCATCTGGGAAAGGAGTCTCAGGTGAGCGGTTGCCTAGATCAGGTTGGCCTGTGGGCATGCCTGGGTGACTATCTTGATTGTTAACTGATGTATGAGGTCCTAGCCCACTGTGAGTGGCACCATTCCCTAGGTTGATAAACCCGAACTCTGTAAGGATAACTGAGTATAAACCTGCACGCCTGCCAGCAGCATCCTTTGTGGTTCCTGTCGTGCTTCTTTGGCGGTGAATTGAGTTCCTTGTTTGGGGGGTCATGCTCTGTGGAGTAGGACACAGGTCTGCCTTCAGGATTCTGCCTTGATTTCCCTTGGTGATGGACTGTGATGTGGAATCATAAACGGAATGAACCCAAGTTGCTTTTTGATCAAAATATTCTATGACAGCAACGGAAAGAAAACTAGAATGAGTTTCAGGCCAACCTGGGCTCCAGAATGAGGCCCTGTTCAAAAGTCTAGTAAACTCAAAACCAAACCAAACAAGCAAAGCCCTGGAGCCACCTCCAAGCTGCATGAATCCAGCTCCCAGCAATGACACAGTCCTTCACGGACTGAGTAGGTCACCTTTGGGGCGGTTGCCCTTCACCCCCTTGGCAGGGTCTACAAGCTCTGCAGTGCAGATCGGAGAAAAGAATCTTCTCGTCACCCTCTCAAAGTCAGTGTGACTTTAAAAGCCCGGGAGATGGGAGATGCGTTTACTTATTGACAAGCAGTCTTAGCTGTGCGGTAGCCCCGTCTCTAATCAGGTAAATCAATCCAGGCCACCTTGCAGTAAGGGATCCCTAACCAGAACAATGGGGCTAGATATAACTTCTGTGAGTTTCTTGGCAATACGGTAACACCAAATTTGTTACACGCTTTCAGCCTGTATGTTTGGAACATGCTACTGGGCTATTTTTGATGTGCCTAGTGTGGTGCTAGGGATGTCTGGAGAGCATAAGATTCATATTTTTCTCTAAATGCAGAAAGTAGGAAGCATATCCAGAAGCAGATCCTGTATGAACACAGGGGCAGGACTTTGTTTTATATATAGACTTATATATGCATATATATATATACACTTATATAATATATATGTGTGTGTGTGTAGTGTGTGTATGTGCACGCACACACACAACTGTACTCTTTTTCTTCAGGAACTGTTTTAAAGCTATCCCTTACTGGTCTGGAACTTGCCAAATAGGGTAAGCTGAGCCTCAAGGAGTCGCCTTTCTTCTCTCTCATTACAAGCAAGTGCTACCATACCCATCTTTTTTGTTTGTGTGTGTGTGTTTTGAGACAGGGTTTCTCTGTGGCTTTGAAGACTGTCCTGGAACTAGCTCTTGTAGACCAGGCTGGCCTTGAACTCACAGAGATCTGCCTGCCTCTTGCCTCCTGAGTGCTGGGATTAATGGTGTGTTCCACCACTGCCCGACCATACCCATCTTTTTAAAAAGTGAGTTTCAGGGATCAA